TGATTCCTAGATATTTCATTTTTTTGGATGCTATTGTAAAAGGAATTGTTTCCCTAATTTCTCTCTCAGTGAGTCTGCTATTTGTGTATAAGAAGGCTATTGTTTTTTGAGTGTTTATCCAACCTTCTTCTTTGGTTTTGTTTTTTTTTTTTTGGTACCGGGGATTGAACTCAGGTCCTCGCGCTTGTGCAGCAGGCAGCAAAACCACAGAGCTAAATCTCTGACTAATCCAAGCTTCTTTGGGAAACTGGAGAAGAAGACAGGAGTGAAAGAATGAAAGAGAAAGCAAAAGAATATCAAAGCAAACCAGAAAAACTAGAGACAGTGTTTACTCACATAAAAAATAAATAAATGAATAAAAAAGATAGTTGGAGAAAGAGAGAGAAAAAAAGACTAACAAAACAAAAACAAGTAAAAATAAAAACTTAAACCAAAAAAAAGACAGAAAAGACCAAAACAAACAGCGAAGTTTTTCTGGTGTCCACAGTTCTGTGGTAGTGTCTAAGTCAGAGCCCAAATCTGTGCTGGGTAACCCAGCCAAGTTAGTGCCAGGTACAGGGCTGATCTTGGCCTCCAGAGGTAGGGGTTGGGTCTAGAGTCTTCAGCCAGCAACTCTCTGGATGTCCCTTGGTGGCCCACCCATATCTCCTTACCTTGTATGGCTTCACATTGCTTGCCCAGTTGCTATGGTGCCCTGAGACATAGACAGCTGAAGGCTGCTCAGAGTCCCATGTTTAGTTGACCCCTCCTGGTCCTTGCACAGCCTGCTCTGTTTCATTCTGCTGGCCACTGGGAGCAGGGGTGAGGGGAAGGTCTTACAGCCCAACTCACTACCTTTGCCGCTGCCTCAGTACCTCACCTTGCTGTCTCTAGAGGTTTCAGTTAGCCACTATGGCATGCAACATTTACTGTCCTGCTCCACTGGCGTGTTTCTCTCTGATGGGGCTCACTCATACTTCATGTGTCCCTGTAGGTTCCATGCTCCACTCACATATGAGCTGGGCACATGAGTCCAATATTGTTGGTCCCCAACTTAGTCAGAGGTTTTTGTTGTTGTTGTTATTCTCTCATAGTCTAAGGAAAAACCCCCCAAAATCTGGCAAACCATCAGGGAGGGAGCAGCTTCCTGGTAACTCACCCCTGTGTGTGTGAAATTTGCTGTCAGGCTGCAATGTTCTCTGTTTGGAGGAATGCAAAAAAGACAGGGAACCACATACCTCAAGTCTATCCTGTGTGGCTTGATTTTGCCATGCTATTGCAGTCTTTTTGGAAACTTCCCAGGATGGGAAGATCCCACAGGAAGCCCTCTGGACTGGTTTGCCTTTTTATAAAATGTTATGAAGAGAAAAATTTGTCTGTTTTAAAAGGAAACACCTGAGGCTTTTGCTTGGGAGGGGCTATGGCCAAGAGGGCCTGTTCAAGCCAGCTTTAGCTGACACTTCTTCCCTGTTGCAAATCCGCCTGAGACTGTAGCTTTCTGGCTTGATTTCTTCCTTGTTTAATTGCAGATAATTAAAAACCCTATGCCTTCCGGGTCTGGTAGTGCACACCTGTAATCCCAGCACTGTGGAGGTTGAGGTAGGAGGATTACCGTGAGTTCTAGGCCATCCTGGGCTACATAGTGAGTTCAAGGCCACCCTGAAATAGTGAGACTCTGTCTCCAAAACAAACAAACAAACAAACAAACAAACAACCCTTTGCCTGATGACCTGAACAGAACAAATGGACATGTTTAGAATTTAATTAGAAAGACTGTGAGAATACAAAAGCAGAGCCATCTCTGTTCTTAGTTTGTGTGTGTGTGTGTGTGTGTGTTTGTTTACTGTTGAAGTAAAGTAAATACAAGAGACAGTTTTCCCAACTGGCTCTATTCTGGTTAAGTAGAGTCATCAAGGGGCTCAAAATACCAGCTGAGCCATCAAGGGGCTCAGAATACAAGTAGAGTCATCAAAGGACTTGAAATGGAAGTTGATCCACTGAGGGGCTCAAGTGGCAAAGGAAACTTTGCTTGGGGGAAGTTCCACTATTACTTCATGGGAGTTAAAGGACCAGGTAAGGCCAACAAGCGGCTTCGTTCTGTTCTCCCTAATGAATTAGTGGGTCCAAATATGGAGACAAAAGCCCCAAGGGGACTTTCTTCTGTGCTTAATGATGCAGGTATCACTTGGACAGAAATATCTGTCTAGTCAGTGTTAGGGGCTCACAAGCAGCAATGCTTTGTGGAACCCTGGGGTCTCCTTCTCCATGGGAAGCCATCTTAAGGAGTCAAGACCTAGTTGTCGCTTTCTCTCTATAGACCCCAAGTGAAGCCAGTGGGAAACCTCTTGAATTTTGCCACTGTGTAGATTTCACCAACTTCACCATTAGGCTGTATTCTTCATGAGTGGGAAAAGTTTGATTTTTACAGTCTAAAACAGAAACAGCTTATCTACTTTGTAATATGGTTTGGATTTAGTATGAACTGGAGGTGGCAAGAGATGAGTATGAGATGGTACTTTAAATTATGTGACTATTCTCCAGTTACAGCATTTCTGCTTAAAGCATATAAGGTGGAATAAAACTGCTCATGTTCAAGTTTTGTGACCCTCTATCAAAGGAAATGCTCAGGAACTGTGGTGTTTAGAGTGGCTTCTGAGGAGGAAAAAGATATTCTGGATGACTCCAATGTGTCTCCCAGGGGGATGTGGATCTTTCTGACCTGTTTGATGGGACTGGGAGGTCTCCTTAACCTTTTAATAATCCCAAGGCCAATAAATCAGGCCCACCCTCTCCAAGTGTCTCAGGAAGTCCATTAGACCCTAGTGCTCCAAGGGAACTCTAGTGTTCCTCAGCTCCTCATCATGCCCCGCAGACAAGCTTAAATCCCACCGTGTACACACAGACAGCTTTAAGCCCCAGATGTTCTGCAAAAGCTACTCCAGATGCAACCACAAACATCTAAGGCCCAGTTGCTAGTCATGGCCTTCTCTGTGTTCAACAATCAGGACCCAGAGGAGGGACAAAAGAGAAAGGCTAAGATTATAGCTGT